GACTGTAGAGTCTTATCCAACATCCATCACTCTTTTGAATTTATCACATTGGTCATCTAGTCTTCATCGTAGGGTCTCAACTAGCGTCCACCAACTTCTTTTGGCTTCAACATGCTGACCGACCAATCTCCATTGTACAGTCTCAATCAATCCTTCACGAAACACTCATATTCAAAATGATAAAAGTTCATCTAATCAAAGTGCAACAAAGTGCACAATGACAAATCACAACATGACCGACATATCACAACATGGTCAGATAAATAATGGTAATAACAAATCAACCTCTTAATGCTGATTAATGTATGATTAGGCAGTGATTAGACCAAGAGAAAGGCAAAAGCTCATAATAACCACTACATAAAGGTCTAAGGTATCTATCAAAACTCAATATCGTCAGGGTAAATAAAATCATTTTTAAAAAGAAAAAAAATTCAATGTAAAAATGACAAAAAGTGAAATAAATTTTCTTTAAATTTTTAAACATTAATTTTAGCACAAAAAGAATAAAAAATATAATAATAAAAATAATAATAAAATAAACTAGTATAATTTATTTTTAATCGATTTTGTGAGCCCAACTCAAGGGTTCTATACATATTTTCACTCCTCTTTCTTCTTTGGATCCATCACATGACATCTTAGTCTTTAAAAAGAAAGATGATTTTAATTAGAATTAATATATGATATTATGCTATGATTTGCTAAGTTAGTTTTAAAAAAAATATGATCCTAAAGATTCGTAAAATTTCTGATAATAATTATTATCAATGTCTCAGATATTATTTTTGAATATATTCCTATCAAGACCAATTCTTTCTTTATATTCTTCATTGTCAATTAATTCACAATTAAAACAAGATTATCAAGATATTTTAATGTGTGTTAATACATATGAAAAAAAAGGGAGATCGAGGGAGAGAGACATAGAGAGAAACTGGAGGAAAGTGCACAGAGAATAAGTTATTGCATAAAAGTGGTTTTGCTAACAACAATTACAAAGGAAGAAATCGTTGGAATACCAAAAGTTTGAGAGATATATGTAAAGTTTGGAAGGTATGTCACTCCCATCATTTTTTTATTTAGGTATTATATTATGTGTCGCATTTTTCTTTTATACCTAACTTTCACATTTTTTTGAACATTATTTTTACTATTCACAAATATCTTGTTTTAAAAATCACAAAAATAATGTCTTTTCTTAATTCTTTTAGGGTTTGTTCCCTCGCGTGACACTAATTTTTAAATTTCTTTTTTGTAAAAAAATATGAAAAATTAAATATACAATTTCAAAAAATGAAAAAAAATATTTTCCTTTTAATCTAGTGTATGTCCGAGCATATGTGTTGTACACTCATTTCTAAATAATTTAAATAAAGACTAAAAATAAATATAAAATTATTAGAAATTAAATGTTGAAAGAAATACATTTAGAAAACAAGAAAAAAAGTCTTTCTTTTTTACATTTCAAAGGTATGTGATTGTCTGTATTATCGTAATGCTTAATATTATTTTTTTTCTAAAAAATTAAATAATATCTTAAAGGTATGAGTACCATCCGCGGCATGATACTTATTATCTTTCAGTTTTTCTTACAAAAGTAAAAAAAATCCAAAATCTTAAAAAACTTAAAACATCAAATTTTCCAAACTCATTTTCAAACCGTTTCGTAAAGAAGTAGTAACCTGATTTCTTATTCCGAATCAGGATGTAGTTTTTAAAATATTTAATTTTTTTCAAAAATAATACTATAAAAAAAAGATTTTTTAGATATATAACCCGATTAGTAGTTTTTTTTACACTAATCAACTCTCGAACATAAAATCTAATTTTAATAAGTTATGTTTTATTTTATAGTTTTTTATAATTTTTTCGAAATAAATTCTAATGATGATTCAGAATTTTTCTTACATCCGTTATTTTACGGTTAGTCGTCCGTCACGATTTCGGTCATATAACTTTATAATAATATGCATATAAAATGTATTATTGTTAAATAAAAGGTCATCTACTATTTTAACATTAAAATACCTTTTATAAATACGATGTGAACATATTTTAAAAGACATAAAAACTAAACAACAAAACAATCAGACAACCCAAGAATTGGCTCAACCATCCAATTTACTACAGAATCCATCGTGTCTAAAGCAACTAAAGGCTCATTCAAATACCTCCGAAACACAATCTATACTTTTAAAAGTGGATAAGAAAAATAAATTATAAGTGATAACATTGTAGAGTGAAATGAGCTCACTTATGAGGCTCTCTGTATTGTCAGCCTAACACACTTAATGAGTTGGTCTGTCTGCATTTTCATTCTAATGGCTGATGAGCATGTATGGAGTGAGGTGACACATTTTTTAAGTAAGATATCATTAAATCAATGGATACTAGTAAATTTAGATATTTAAAATAAAAACACTAGTAGTATTTGTGTGCAACAGAGAAAAAAGAAATTGACGAAATTACAAACACAATCGGAAATTAAAAATTTATAAAATAAAAGTCTAAACCAAATTTTATAAATTAAATCATGATAAATTAATGTTGGGATGGAGGAACTGAATTGTTTCTGGAAAATAAGAATCTACCGGGAAGGAACCGAAAAAAAGTAGGTGACCACTAATTTTCCTTCATTGTTTGGGATAAAAGAAAGTGGTAAAATGTGTTTTTCTAAGATAAAATATTAAATTTTATTTAATTTTACATTTTTGTATTTATCTTTGCACGGTGATATAAATTTTCTTATTTTGAATCCTTTTGTTTACTTTACTATTTTTTTTTTTTACTCTTTTCCTTTAATTTCTCTCATAAATCATTGGTGAGAAAATTACTGCAATAATCATGAGATGGAAAAGGAGGGCATGATCACATGGAAAATATTGAAGTTACTGTACGATATAGGTGCTGTTCAGTCTTCATTATTATTCGTTTCCAACCTTCAACTACCTCATTTACGCTTGCAACTTGCACTTGTAACTCCTTTCTTGGCTATAAAATTCTCAACTTGGTTCTTCGCTAATATGTCTGCTATCAACTTTGTTTCAACACAAGTTGCAGAGAAGCAGCGAGGTACACCTATATACACAGAAACTAGTCTCAGTTCATACAACTTATTACCCACACACATCCACGCAAACGTCCGTACCTATCTCTAACCACAGATATTTGCCATGTTATGTTTCTTGTGCCCTATGTCGTTCACGTTTTGACTTTCCTGTACCACACTCTTTTGAATTTTCTTCTCTTTGCCCTTTTCTTGTAATGTTATAGTAATTTATAAACTATGATAATCGTGCTTGCAAAGACCACTCTCACCTTCTCCTTCGTTCCCGGCGTCTTGGAGTCTTGTTTCTGGTGCTTGTTTTTCTATATATTTGACATGAAAAAACTGTTATGTTGTCTTGTTCTGTGATCCGGGACCACCTCTGCCAAACTTCAACGAATAGTTACGTTTCTTTTTTCATTGATGTGAAGTGCTTGACAAAACTTTAATCATAAAGCATACTTAAAAATTAGTTGGGGGATTGTGGATAACTCAGTTTCTTCAGAACCATGCAATGTGTCTTATTAATATTATTTTAATAATAAAAATGATGAAACCAAAGGAAAAACATTTTACGATTGATTTTTTGGTGCCTGTCATTGACCGGGTACTTGGATGTCTTAAATGTAGTAATAGACAGAAGCGAATCAAGTTGAGGGAAACTGACGGTGGTTGATACACTTGTTTTGTGCCTTGTTCAGGTTTGATAACAAGGGAGAATGAAGGCCTTTTCGGTTAAGGTTGAGGAAGGAAGAGAAGGTAAAAATGGTAACCTCTCTGTTGGTCCAGTGTACCGCAATCTCCTCTCCCAAAAGGAATTTCCTCCGTTGGATCCTGTTTTCTCTACAACTTGGGATATTTTCTGGTAATTGGTTTTAGTACCTACAATAATTCAGCAGTTGCTATTAGATTATAAAGATACTACATATGTTCTGTACTGAGCTTTACCAATATAGTAACAATGTGGGGTCTGTCAAATAACGACGTAATAAAAATTGAGATTTTGGTGGTTGATCAATGAATGATATTTTCATCACGGAAAGCCTTTCCTCGATGGCTGCAGTGAATCTGTCAAGAACTATCCTAACAACCCGATGCTCGGACGACGTAAAATTGTTGATGGAAAGGTATCTTAAGGAGATTTATTTTGTTATATAAGACTTTTTATATGTCAAGAAAATAAGCTAACTATTTTTGGATCATGTTAATAGTTTGGACCATATGTGTGGAGCACGTATAAGGAAGTTTATGATGAAGTTCTGCATATAAGTTCTGCTTTACGAGCATCTGGAGCCGAAGTTGTAAGTGCTTTTGAAAGGTTTCTCTCGTGATTTGTAAGCACAGTAGATCAGCAGTTTTCAATGGAATCTTTTTCATGTAACAGGGTGGTCGAATTGGAATTTATGGATCTAATTGCCCTGAATGGATTGTGGCAATGGAGGTTTGACACTTCTATAACCTTTGTCTTCTCAAAGTTTTACCTCTTGTTCTTTCTATGACACTGTATATCATACCATGATTCATAATTATGTCTTAATTGGTTTAGGCTTGTTCTGCTCAAAGCTTAATCTGTGTGCCTCTGTACGACACCCTCGGTAAGTTCTCTCAAATAAAGTTGTATCCCCAGCTCCCTCTCTCTCTCTCTCCTTTGTTGTATTGTAATTAAGAGCCGTCACAAAAACACGATCCTAATCAAATTTTAAGACTTTGTTCATTTTACATACTTTATCAAACACCTTTGATACTCGTTTTCTTTACCAGTGCAACTTTTTTTTTTGTGTAAATGAAAGAGAAAAAAAGAAAAAGAAGCAACATTCAAACCTTAAGTTTTTTTAATATTTTTAATGCAGGACCCGGTGCTGTAAACTATATCATAGATCATGCAGAAATAGATATCGTGTTCGTCCAGGATAAGAAGGTTAAAGAGGTAAGCAATAACGATAATTTAAAAAAAAAAATATGATGTTCCACTTCAGATTTTTTTTATATATCAGGGATTCAGAGCTAGCTGCAGTTTATAGTTTCTTAGTTCTGAGTAAATATACCATTTGCAGGTTTTAAATCCTGAATGTAAATCCTCAAAGCGACTTAAAGGTAAACTTTTGAGGTTTTCATCTCAGTAGTTCTGTGGTAGAATTATCAGAATGATTAAAGGAATTACACTAAATTTGATTATGGTACAGCCATTGTGTGCTTCACTGCATTAACACAGGAAGAGAAAGATAAGGCTTCTGCTATTGGAATTAAGTCATATTCCTGGGATGAGTTCTTGAACTTGGTTAGTTAGTAGAGAATTAGTTCTTACTTTTTCTCTACTCTTGCAATTATGGAATTTGTTTTCCTTTAAAGCTTAGATGCCATATTTTATAAAAGTTATTCACACAGGAAAAATGGGTTACTTTTTTCCTTTTATAAAGGTGTTGTGTTACAATAACTTTGGTCTTCAATGAAACTAAAAAGTAATCCCAAGATTGCAGAAACTTTGATATGAGAACTTACGAGAGAAGCAGCTGATGAGGATATAAAGTGGTAAAACTGTGATTCTTGGTATTATGTTTCAGGGAAAAACCAATCCCAAAAGTACTTTTCCTCCTCAGACTCATGACATCTGTACAATAATGTACACTAGTGGGACAAGTGGAGACCCTAAAGGAGTTGTTTTAATATACGAAAATGTGATGGCTTTAGTAAGAGGGATGGATCTTTTCATGGAACAATTTGAAGACAAGGTAAATCTGATGCTAGATCCATTACCAAATCGATATGGTACCATTTTTCTTTTAGCACAAGTGACGAATTTTAATTTGAACAGATGAATGTGAATGATGTGTATCTGTCATTCCTACCCCTGGCTCATATCCTTGATCGCACAATTGAAGAGTACTTTTTCCGTAAGGGTGCATCTGTTGGTTACTATCATGGGGTAATTTTGTTCAAGAATTTATTCATAATCTGGATTTCCTTGGTGGCATTGACATGTTAATGATTTTTCTATGCTTCATACCATATTTTTAAATTGAAGGATCTGAATGCGTTGAGGGATGATTTAATGGAGTTAAAGCCAACACTGTTTGCTGGTGTTCCACGCGTTTTTGAGAAGGTCTATGAAGGCAAGGCCACACTTCCATAAATTAAATAAATAATGAAACTTATCAGAGATTATAATATTTTATATACTTCAGATATTATTAGTAGACTCTAATTTTAATGTTTTTAACCACTTTTAATTAAAAATATAATATTACTGAAAATATTATTAAGTAATCCAATCTCGCCAACTTATAATCTATCCAAGAATATCTTTTTCAGGTATCAAGAAAGCAGTGGAAGAACTTAATCCAATTAGGAGAACTGTTTTCGGCATGCTCTACAACTAGTAAGTTGGAATTTTGTATCCTATTTTTATCAGTGTTTATCTTTACCCATTCAATTCACATTTATTTTCAAATGCAGCAAACTTGGTTGGATGAAAAAGGGCTATAAGCAAAGAGAAGCATCACGTTTGGCAGATCTGCTAGCCTTCAGAAAGGTTGTATGAGATAATCTCTTAACTAAAAACCTGTATTTAGTTTCATAAAAGGGCAATAGATGTGACCTTTTATCAGTAATTTTCTTGAAATTTGACTTTTTTACGTATGGGTAAGAGTTTCTCCATTTTAGGTAAAAGCCAGGCTTGGTGGTCGTGTTCGACTAATAATCTCTGGTGGAGCAGCATTGAGCCCTGAGGTGGAAGAGTTTTTGCGTGTCACTACTTGTGCCTTTGTATGCCAAGGATATGGTAATTAAAAATCTAATTCAGCACATTCTCGCTGTTAAAAGAATGAGAGTTACCCACATAAAAGAATGTTATCGATTGAAAAATGATTTATTTAGTTTTGATGAAAATATTTATGTCATAAGACAAGACAGCATGTGACAGAGAAATGTTAATCCAGGTTTGACCGAAACATGTGGACCAACTACTCTTGGTTTTCCTGATGAAATGTGTATGGTTGGTACTGTTGGAGGTGTATCAATATATAATGAAATAAGGCTGGCAGAGGTTCGCGAGATGGGATACAACCCTCTTGAAACTCCTCCATGTGGTGAAATATGTGTAAGAGGGAAAACTGTTTTTAGTGGTTACTACAAAAATCCAGAGTTAACAAGGGAAGCTATTATAGATGGATGGTTTCACACAGGTAATTCAGTTGTCATTTTCTGCATAAAAAGTGAGTTTGTAAGAATCTTTATATAGTCTGAGATATTCCTGTATCCTCAGGGGACATAGGAGAAATGCTTCCCAATGGTGTAATTAAGATTATTGACAGGAAGAAGAATCTTATCAAACTCACACAGGGAGAGTATATAGCACTTGAGAATCTAGAAAATGTTTATGGAATCACTCCTATAGTTGAAGATGTAAGTATTTTCATGAGTTTATTGCTGTTAAAAGGCAGAGTTTTTAGTTTATAAAGTTTTTGTGATTGGGTTTATGTATGTTTTACTTTTAGATTTGGGTATATGGGAATAGCTTGAAGTCAATGCTAGTTGCAGTAATAGTTCCTAATGAAGAAGTTGTGAACAAGTGGGCATATACAAATGGTCACATATCTTCTTTCCCCAAACTCTGCTCTCTCGACCAACTCAACAAATATGTGCTATCTGAGCTCAAATTGACAGCTGAGAGAAACAAGGTAACATCTACACGTAATAAAACTTTATTGCATTTGGAATGAAAAAACAACCTTAAACTTTTATTTTATATTTTTTACACTACATAATAATGCAAACTATGATTCTCTAATCGTGTTGTTTAGCTGAGGGGCTTTGAACATATAAAGGGGGTGATATTAGAGGCGGAGCCATTTGACATGGAAAGAGACTTGGTCACTGCAACACTAAAGAAGAAAAGAAACAAGCTGCTCAAGTATTATCAGGTACAGCTCATATTTCTTCATTCTATTTCTGAATTGCAGTTTAGAAATACTCACAAAATTATTGATATTGTCACAGGTGGAAATAGATGAACTATACCAAAATTTGACAAATGAGAAGAAAAAAAATTAAGGTTTTTAGGCACGAATATGCTATTTAGTGCTTCACTGTAGCACCTGTTCCCCTTCTCAAACTCATCTATATAATCCTAAAAACTCAGTGCTAATTTGTATTATTTAGCTCTATAGCAAATGCCGCGCGTAAACCAACTTGTGTGAACTTGTTCTAATTTATTCAATTTGAGGGTGGGCACTTAGACTCTTTAATTTTCCAAATTCACGATTAGACATCTTTTTTTTTACCTCTTAAACTTATATATACTGATCCCACTATTAAATTCGGACTTATATATTAATATAAAAATAAACAGAAGTATATATTATATATTATTTATTGTTTTTTCTTTTAAATTGTCGGGATTTTGTGTCTGCCACAGATCAGGCTAACGCGGTAAATTGATGGATGAATACAAAAACACATTTTTTCTAATATATTAGACGGGCTACAAATAGTGCAAAATTAGTTTTTATATACGTGAGATTCATACAAAAGCTACGAAAAAAACATGTAATGATATTTTTGTAAATAATTGGAACTTGTCTAGTGAGAGTAATACTACCATTTACCATTTTTGTTTTCCATATTCGGTTTCCACAGTCCTTTGTTGAATAGATAGAAAGGGTATTTAAGCAGTGCAAACGTATCATTCGTATCATTGATGTGTCGGTTGACATTTCAGTGAGACAGCATGATTGAGTGGAAGTTGTCATCTTCATTTTAAATGTGTTAGTTGCAAGTGTACTTTGAAGACCAATGTCATATTGTTTTTTTTTTTTTTCCTGAAAATAAAAGAAGAGTGATGTGAATAGATGACGGAGCATGGTTCATTCAGTCATAAAAGTGTAAAAAAAGTTTCTCCTCATTAAATAAAACCTCAAATTGGAACAAGTGAAGTTGAAGCTGATTATTTGTGGGTTGATTATTATGAAAATATCTTTTTAATAATTTTTTTAGAATCTTTTTACAACAAAATTTATTATAGTTTATAATCGATCAGTTTCAAATATACGAACTAATAAGATAATAATACATAATTTATTATTAAAAAAAGTGGTTAAAATATCATCATACAATCAACAGTGAATATTAGTTATCATCATCGTTACCAAACGTGAAAATCAAAACAACAAATGTGAAAGTCAAAACAATAAAGGAATCGTTTGAAAGCTAGAATAGTTTTTAATTTTATAAATAAGGTGGATCATGAGTCACTTTAAGTCCAATATAACATAGTTTTGGACACGTATTGGACATTAGTGCGACATAAGTGCAAATATTGCATTTAATTATATTATATAGACTATGAATTTAAGAAAAATATAGTCTATAAAATTCTGGTGATATTTTTGTAATTTTTATGAGGTATAAATTACGGTTCTATGTAAAACTCTAGCTTATGCTTTATTAGTCAGAATATAGACTATGATTCCTTTATTAATAATCTTTTTAATGGTGATGTTAACTAATATTCACTATTGATATTCATATTTGGTATTAATTATATGTTCATATTAATAAATTACTACTCCAGGTTATTAAATCGTTTTCTTGGTTAAGGTCTTTGTTTTCATTGTTCATTATTTATTTTCAATTAACTGGCTCACATGTACTATGGGATGACACTTTTTATATTATCATACTAAATCCATGGCAGCTACATTTTTTTTTTTTAAGTTTTACTTTCTTTAACTATTATTATTATTACTATATTTATTATTAGTTTTTATTTACAACTTCTGTGTCTGATTTTATCGAAAATAGAAATATATGGTACATTCTATTACTTCAACTATTGTAATTCTGTTTAAGATAACATTATAGCCAAATATTTCCGTTAATTAATTAATTCATTTTATTATTTAAATATTGATTCAAATTTTTCGAAACATAAGTATTTTATTTTTTATTTTTGAAGGATTTAGTTTATCATGACTTTTAATTTATCATGACAGTTACATTTTAAGTTTTACCTTTTTTTTTAATTTTTATTACCATTGTTATATTTATTATCAGTTTTTATTTACAAATTTTGTGTTTGATTTTATTATAAATAGAAATGTTTGATACATTTTATTATTTTAACTATTGCAACTCTGTTTGAGATAACATTAATTATAGCCAAATATTTTCATTAATTAATTAATTATTTAAATAATGAATCAACTTTTTTGTAACATAAGGATTTTACTTATTTGGGTGATTTAATTTATCATGGCAGTTATATTTATATAATTTAAGTTCTACTCTCTTTTTTTAATTATTATTACTACTATTATATTTGTTATCAGTTTTTTATTTACAAATTCTTTGTTTGATTTAATTAGAAATAGAAACGATTGGTACAATTTATTACTTTAACTATTCAAATTCTGTTTGAGATAACATTACATATATAGTCAAATGTTTTTATTAATTTATTTATTTATTTCATTATTTAAATATTGAATCAACTTTTTCATAACAAATATTTATTTTTGTTAAGGATTTAATTTATCATGACAGTTACAAATATGCTACAGTCCTTACTACAATTTTTTTTTACTTTTTTTAACGTTTTTTTAATTCAGAATTGGTTGGTTACATAACTAAGCGTAATATAATTTGATATAAGTTAACATGAAACTTCAGGCCATCTACATTTTTGTTCTTTGATATCATTATTTTAAAAGTTTTTATAAATTAATTCTTTTTGTTATTTATTTAATAATTTGTTGGGTCATGATGAAGTCTCTGTTGATATTATTTGATGTGGTAAAACCAAATTTGAAGCAAGCTAGTTTTTTTTTTTAAAACTTCTATTTGCATAGTTTTTATAAAGTAGAACTGTGTTTATTAATGTATTTTCTGTGTTGTGTTTTATTGCAAATTAGAAACAATGTTCTACTTTGTAAACTGAAATAGATTGGATTTTTTTTAATGCAGTTGGAATTTGTATATTTGTGTTCAGAAGTTTGTCAATTGAAATCGATCAAATTTTATGTCTATAAATTTGTAATCGATAATTAAAGTTTGTGTCAATGTGATTTCTTTTACTATTAATATTAAATAACATGAATATATTAATGAATTTGTGAATATATAGTAAACGCTTTTTATTTATTATTTTATAGTTTGTTTCAACTTTTTTTGTTGAACTATTATCATATGAATATATTAATATTAAACCAACAATTATATTGGAAACTGAGACCTTTGTTATATGGGCCTATAGGTTTCAGAATTCGGTGTTTCATTCTACACCTCAACACTTTACCATGCACCTCCAACTTTTTTTAAAATTTATTTTTAATCTTAGTAAATACTTTTTTCACTTTTTCTCTTTCTATTTAAAGTAATTTTATACTTCTTTAACTCTGCATCTTCTTAACAAAATTTTTAAAACTTTATTTTTATTTATAATTTAATAACTATTTAATTTAATTTAAAAACTTAATATTATTTAATATTTTTTCATATTTAAATTAAATTATCATTAAATTTTAAATAGAAAATAAAATTAAAAAAAAGTCATCGGATATTGGGTTCCGATAACTATGTTACCGGATTTCCAATTCCGATTTTTAAATAATTATTATTTTTTTATACTTTATTAATTATTTAATATAATTTAAAAAATTAATGTTATTTAATATATTTTATATTTAAATAATTATTAAAATATAATTTATATTATTATAGTAGTAATATTAAAAAAATAAAAATAATAATAATTAAGAAATCTAAAAATTTCAAAATCTTATTTTATTATTTTAATATAATGTTATATAAATTTATATATTAAATCAGATATTATGTAATCATTTTTATTTTTATTAATTTTATTTAAATTTTTATAATATAACAATTATATGAAAAAATTAAATTATTATTAAATTTTAAATAAAAGATAAAATTTAGAAAAAAAGTCATCGGATATTGGTATCCGATAATTATCGGATTTCCATTTCCGACACGAAAATCTTTTCAAAAATTTGTTTTTTATTTATACTTTATTAATTATTTAATTCAATTTAAAATTTTAATATTATTTAATATATTTTTTATTTAAATAATTATTAAAATATAATTTATATTATTATAGAGTGATATTGAAAAAATTGAAATTAAAATAATAATAATTAAGAAATCTAAAATTTTTGAAATTCTCTTTTATTAATTTAATATTTTAATATGATTTAATATATTATTATTTATATTAAATCCTATTTTATATAATTATTTTTATTTTTATTACTTTTATTTTAATTATTTTAATGTTAATTTTTGTAATATAATTATTATTATAATACAAATTATATTTTAATAATTATTAAAATAAGAAAAAATATTAAACTTTGAAATTAAAATAAATAGTTATTAAATTATAAATAAAAAATAAAATTTTGAAAATTTTGTTAAAAAGGTGGAGAGTTAAAGAAGTGTATAATCACTTTAAATAGAAAGAGAAAAAAGTAAAAAAAGTAAGTTAAAAGCATAGGATGAAGTGTTGGAGGTCCAGGATAAAACACCCTTACTTTAAATAGAAAGAGAGAAAGTAAAATAGATATTTACTAAGGATAAAAATAAATTTTTGCAAAAGTTAGAAGCCTAAGATGAAGGTGTTGGAGGTGCAGGATGAAACATCCTTCAGAATTTTATGTTTAGAGGGTTGTGTTTGCTTGTAGGGTGCACCTCTGCACTCCATTTTTCTTATCATTAGCACTCCATTTATGATCTATTAAGAACCTCTACACCCCGTATGAATTGCACTTCTTCATTTTTAGTTAGACTTTGATGAGATTTCAAGTTTTTGAATTCTTTTAAGTCCATTTGTTTGTAACAAATAATAAAAATTATAATTATAATTATATGCTTATGTGAGTTGTTCTGATAATTTTAATCAATTATTCGATTAATTAATTAATATTAATATATTAATGAATTTTTAAATATATAACCAATTATTTCTATTTATTTATTTTGTGAATTTTTTCAACATTTTAAGTTAAATTATTAAATATTAATTTTAATTAATACAATAAATGTTATTGATTTATTTCATAATTTATTGCAACATTTTTTTAAATTATCAATTAACTATAAATAATAATACTATTATTATTGTTATTAATCGACATAGTGATGGTGTGGTCGTTGTTGTCGTCTTTGTTTATGTCGTCGATCATCCTTCAATACTCCAAGGAACACTCCTCCCCCAGTCTCTCTGCATCGGTGTTCAGCTCCTC